AAAGTAGGGATTTCAATACCTTTGTACCTTTCAGATTGGTTTGGAGCTGCCTGTTATTTGTCCATGTAGGAAAACAAGGCAGTGACTCAAACTAAAACCCTGGAATAGATTTTTGTTACTTCCAAACATGTATTTCCTAGCAGCTGTTCCCGAGTCTGTGCTCTCTAGCCTCTGGCTGTATCAGACACATCTATCTGTTTCAGTTCCTTGTTCCAGTACTTGACAGGAGGCTGTCATGTGGGAAAGTTGACCAGAGCTGCTTTCTGCATTGCAGGCTCTGGTTTAGTTGATGCCATCTGCAGTACTGAGCATTTGACATATTTTAGTCCCTGATGTGCATTGGCTGCAGTGCCTGTCTTTTAAACAGCAACTTCTAACTAGGCCTTAAATTAGTTAAACTGTGTTAATTTTCTTGCATTTCTTTCTTTGGAATCTAAACTCGTCAAGTAAAATTGATCTGAGCATTTCTTCGGGACAGAAGGGGATTGGAAATCAAATGACAGAACATGCAATTGTCAATAAACCTCTGTATTTTGTTACTTCATTGTGTGCTGTAGATGTCTGCTTTTATAAATCAGTCAGTAATCTATTTCAGTGTAGATACACTTGTGAATTTTATTGTCTGAAATGGGAAAAATTGCACATATATTTTCAGCCCTTCCCTAGAGGGGACTGTGCTCAGGAGCTGTGACATCCTGCCCAAGGCTGCCCATGAGACAGACACCTCTTATCCCTGGGGAGGGTTCAGTTCAGTGCCTTCTTAGGGGCAGCATTCCATGATGTTTTGTACCACATAGGGATTGTTATGTTCTTCAGCAAGATTATAAATAAACTTAAATATTCAAATAATTTAAATATTTAAGGCACTTAATGTAGAATAATGTAGTAGTTCCCCTCGAGCAGGGGATATTGGTTATATGGAAAAGTCACACCCCCATTTCTGCTCTTCCAGTGAGTGCATAACCCCCCTCGAGGTGCCAGACTGCCTTGGCTGACAGGAGGGAACTCCGGCCACAGAAATTGCTCTTCTGGGTGAGCTGGACACTGTGGCCTCTCAGCCAGGGTATTGTGTCTGTGGTGTTCGTCCTCCAGAGCCTCCCAGCCAGCCCTCACTCCCACAGCTCCTGCTATGTTTGGCCATTTACATTCTCTGAAGCATGCACAGTGCTTTGGGTGGGATCTGCATAGTGTGGGAATTTGGGAATGTCCTTGGTAGATAACACAGCAGCAATGAAGGACTGTCCCTCCTTTGCAGGCAGTAGCCTTCAATAGAGCTTCACTCTGCAACTCTGTCTTACCTCTGCTTCCCCCAAAACTGCACATTTCACAGAATATGCCAAGTTGGAAGGGACCCACAAGGACCATCATAAACACTTGGGACAGAATGTTATCCAGGCTGCTATTTCAGTCTGGGAAGGAAAATGATGGTATCCATAGTGAGCTCAGGGAGGGGGCTAAAGGAGGACCTGCACGTGAGTCAGGTGTGGTTCTAGGCATGGCTGCTGCTTAGGCCCTAAACATGTCACCATATCTGTCCTGTACAAGACAGCAGTGCTGCAGGGAACAGCCCAGCTCAGCTGATCCCCTGCTCGATGTGAGCCTGCCTAACCCAGAGCAGTGTGTGTTCTCCCCTGTGCCCACGGCTGGCTTCTGTTCAAAACCTTTCAAGCAAGCACTGTCTGATCTTGTCCATCTGCAGCATCACTGCCTAACACCCCACCCTGCACTCCCAGTGGGGAAGATTATTTTCCTCTCTGTTGGTGTTTTAAGCAGCATTACTGTGGGTTTTTTGAAGGATTTATACAGGCTGATCAGACTTGGGATATCCATTGTGCATCCTTGGGAATTGTCTAGTGATTGTTGTGTGGAGACAATTATTTAAGCACTAAGGGAGTAACTGCTGTCCCCTGGAAGGCTCTCGGAGTTGTTCATGTACAGTAGGATCACACCAGTGCGTGGACGTCCAAGTGTCGTGGCCACCTGGGTGACTGTGAGGAGAACAGTTTGATGCCTCTCAGCATGTGGAGTGTGCTCAGTTGGAACTTGCATCTCCACAGGCTGGAAGCCACGTGGCCACCCAGTGATTTGTCCAAGCCCTCTGATGTGTCTCCTGTTGAATTTCAGGCCTGAAGCTCTGATGAAGCCCTGGTTCACTTTGCTGTGGAAAAAGTAGATGTGAAATGTGAAAATGTAGAGGCTGGAGTTTTCCATTGTTTATTTTTCTTAAGGAGTAAAGAAGGGTTGCAGCATCCTGGCTGTGGGGAGGCCTGGGCACATGTGAGCTGTTGGTGTCATTACTGGTGATCAGGTGTGCAAGGATGGGACTAGGGTCACGATTCATTGCTGGCCAAGAACTGATGGGCAGAACCCCCAGCAGGCTGAGCTCCTGCCCAGGCTGTGCCCAGTTGCCACTTGCTCCTCCCTCTGAACATAGTCCGTGAGCAGGAAGAGTGACTTTTAATTATTGGGCTAAATTAGCAGCCCTGATTACTTTTACAGTCTCATCTCACTTCTGGGGATGAAGACTATCTCTTGTTGGACTGGCTTTCCCTTTCTTTCAATCTGCAGTTCCTTATATTGTAACAGGACCTCCTCCTTCCCAAGCAGATCAGAAGTACTGGCAAGAACCAGCAAGAATGTGGGAATTTGCTTTATCCATCATGCTTTCTAGCTCCAGCCACCTTCTAATTCTGGTCTCTACCCACCTCAGTGTGAGCTGCCTGCACTGATGTTCATCTTCAGGCTTCGCAGTCCACAGTGTCTTAGGAGAAAGAGAATATTGTTGGACCCCACCATCTCCAGGTTGCCCAAGGCTGGGGACAGGGTGAGGGGTGGGGTTTCAGTTACCTGTATACATGATCAGTGCAACTCTACAGAAATGAAACAAAACCCCCCCAATTGTTTCCTTCCATTTCTTGCAACATGTTGACCTCTGTGAACGCCACCCTTTCATTTTCATGACAAGCTCAGGCAAAGTAGAGCCATGCAATGGCTTTGTAGAAAGCTGCTCAGAGCTGAGCTCTGGAATCCCAACAGCAGGTGTCCAGCACAACTGGGGAAGACAAGCAAAGTGAAAGTGGCTTTCCTATCATCAGTGGAGACATTACTGATAAAAGCTGAGTAAGAGGAAGCTGTAGATGTGCCCAGTGGAGGTGAGCAGGTACAGCTACAGTGAGGCTCATGCTGTTGGGTCAGCTTTGAGCTTTATCCACCTGAGCTGAAACACAGGAACAACTCTGCCTGTGAGAGGCTCCAGTAGACTCCTCCCACCCTGAAGATGGTCTTTGTGCAACAGATCCAAAGGTCCCCAGAATCTCCCCACATCTTCAGATTATACCACAGGGTTTTTTAAAGCACATGCAGGGATGTTTGTAGCATGGTTTCTACAAACCCCTCTCTAGCCAAAAGAAGTTCTCCTTGTAGGCAGCAAACACGGGAGAGGGACAGGAATGCTTCCCAGTGACACCTGGCAGAGCAGGCAGTGGGGCATTGGTGCTACACCAGCACAAACCCTGTTAGCCCATGGCAGACTTTAAGTATGTCACAACTTCTCTTCAAAACAGTAGACTAATGTTTCGTTTCTAGTCCTTTGGAGGTAGATTATGGGATGGTAAAGAGGAATGCCTGGCTTTTGAGTGAGCTCCTTCCATGAAGGAGCAAGTACGGGAGTTTCACTGGCTGTCCCAGCACTCATTGCCGCACCAGCCCTCAGTTGTTTAGCTGCAGCATCGCATGGTATAAACTCAGAAAGCTGCAGTTTTGGCAAGGCAGACTGAAGTCACTGCTTTTGAACCAGTGTATGGAGACACAAATCAGCTCTGAACATGCAGTTTCTTCTGTACACAAGGCTCCAACATGAATCTACAGCACTGCTGCATGTGGTTCTTCATAATCACAGCTAAAAATTCACCAGGGGATTCTTCCAATGAAAAAATGCAAGTGCAGGATTTCAGCACTGAAGAACAGTGCTGAGTGGAGCACTGAATGGAGGCTGAGTTTGAAGCCACTGAGGAGTCTGATTTGCAGGCTGAGTAAAACACTGGTGAGGCCTCACATGGAGCACTGAGTGCAGTTTTGGGCTCCCTAGTACAAAAGAGATGTGATTTAGCAAGTGCAGTGCTGAGCCACAAAGGGGGTAAATGGACTGGAGCATCTTTCACAGGAGGAGGGGCCAAGAGAGCTGGGGCTGCTCCAGAGGTCTGCCCAGTGTGCTCAAGTACCTGCTGGGAGGCAGCGAGGATGGGGGGCCTGAGTGCTCTGCACAGGAGACAATGTGCATGAGGGAAACACGGAATTCCATCTGAACACAAGGATCCACGTTTTTCCTGAAAGGGGCCACACACTGGGACAGGTGTCTCAGAGAGGCTGCAGAGTCTCCATCGGTGGAAATGCTCAAACTCTCACCAGATGCAAGTCCTGGACAACCTGCTCTGGCTGCCTCTGCCTGAGCTGGGGTGTGGGACTCGATGATCTTGGGAGGTCACCACCAAACTAGAGGAACCTGTGGCTTTTGCAGTTCTGTGACTTCTCAGCCCACCCCCTGAATTTCTGCTGCACCAAACTCCTAAAGGGAAATACTTTAACTGTGGTCTGAAATGAATTCACAGTGTGACTTAAAACTTGAAGACCTTGCTCTCTGAGCTCATCCTCTTCAGTAAATCAGTTTAACCAAGCTTTGATTTGATGAGTCAATTTGTCTTAAAATGTGAGTTTACTGCTGTCAGTACCTAAATTGCTTTCAATCTACTACTGTTTATATTAAATGCAACTTGAGCACAGCTGCTCTTTCTCTTCAGAATTTGTAGTAATTTACATGTCATTCACTTCAGCAGTTCTCCTACTTGGCTGTGGTACAGTTTACTTCATTCTTAAAGCCTCCTTTGTCCTTTTGTAAACACTGTGAGTGTTTGTGAGCGTTTTCATAGTGCAAAGGGCAGTTGGCTGAGTAAAATAAGCCTCTAGCCTTCATGAGTAAGAGCACCGTGGTGTAAAGGACAGCATTCCATATCAAAACCCTTCATGCTTTTGAAGGGCAATGAATAGGCACAGCTTACAGAAGCATTTCTAGTAAAGTAATAAGCAATTAAGCTAGGCTTGTGTGCCAAAGGTCATCAGTTTGATTAATTCAGGCTCCTGCCTAAAGAATAACGATGGCGTCACTTGCACAGGCATGTGATTTGTGAAAGAGGCTCATCTAGAGCGGGGAGTGAAACATCAGGCTAACCCTGTATGGGTTAGCAGGTGCTGCTGTGCAGGATTCTTGTGGCAGAGCAGGCAGGCACACCTCTGCAGGCAGCTGTGCTGCAACATCTGTCTAATGGCTCACGAACAAGGTTGGCTGGGTGAGCTTCAGGGGATCCTTGCAGGTGGGAGGGTGTTGAAGAATGCCCAAGAACCACAGAGCACATCCCTTCCACTGATGTGCCAGGCATAAGAAAGTGGAAACACTCCCTTTTTGTAGACAACTCCCTTCAGGATTCCCTTTAAATACACAGGCTAAAATCTGCTTTCAAGCAGAAGTGACCAGTGCTGTGTCTGGCAGGGCCATGGTTCTCCCCTGCTAAAGTTTAGCTGACAGAGCCCTCTGTTCTCGTTTCATGCTCAAGGAGCTGTGCTGGAGCTGTGCTGCATCTGTGGGTCTCTGTCCTGCCCCACGGGTGCTCCCTTTCCGGTTCTGTTCAGCATCCCATCCTGGAAATTCAAAGCAGCAACTGGTGACAAAAGGACACTTTTTCCTGCACACACACATTGCCACAGGTGGGTCCTGGCCCTTGTCCTCACTGTATTGCAAAAAAATACAGCCACAATGGCTTGATAGGAGCAAGGGTGTGACACACTCTGTCTTTAGCAGAGGGTTCTCTCTTTGTGCAGTCCCATTTTAAGAGTTACTCACGCACCCAAGAACCAGTACATCAGTAAAAGGATGATGCACAGCTATTTCTTCACAATTTATCACACTTACCTGTTTCTTGTCCACAACATTGAGGCTAATGGAGGCAACAATGCAGGCGACAGTGTTTGCCAACATAAAGATCAGCATCTGTTGCCAGCGCCTCAGGGGGATCTTTAGTTCACTAGAAAGCCAAAACAGGAGAGAACAACCAGTCACTTAAGATACTTAAGGCACTGCTCTAGTTCCCTGCAGCATCAAGTTGCAAATCCCCTGATTCCTGTTTACACTGCTCCACTAAAGCACTGGTGATTTCTGTGCTTGGAAACAAAAGGACAAAGCATTCTCACCTGGGCCTTGTTCCCAGAATGCGTCCAACAATCAGATTTGAAAGGCCAACTCCGACCATCTGCACAGAAGTTGCCAGCCCCATCTGTCCCTAAGTCTCTTGGGAGAGCACAAGGGGTATAAGATGGCCACCTACTAACCTGGGGGAGCAATGAGAGCAGGAACTCAGAGCCTGATTTAAAGGTGCAGACATTGGTTCAAAAAGGAGTTATTCCCATGAAATAAACATTTATACCTTCTCCTCAAAAAATCTGGTGCTTGTGCCTCTAGCCTATTGGCTGGTTCTAGACTGTTCCCCACTCTTTTCAAGCAGCTGGAGACAGCACAGACAACACAGGTTATCTGAAACTGGAATAACCTGACTCCAGATTTCAGAGGAGGAGTCAGACCTGGTGGTTGAGCAGGTAAGACTCAAAGGACATTCAGGTGTTACGTTCAAGGTAAAAAAGCACTGTGCAAATCATAGCCAGGTTAATGGTTCACACTGTATCGAGCACTTCCTTGCTCTGCTCCGCGCTCTGCTCCATGTTGAGTCTTTGGGGTTATTTGTTATTAACCTAAGTCTTCAGGCTTGGGGAGCCTGTGTCTGCTAGACCTGTTCAGCAGGACTCCAGGGCAGCAGTAACAGGCCATCCAGGTGTAGGAGCATGGCCACAGGACACACAGCTACCCAGGAGGAGTGGGAACTCAGGGCAGCCAAGGAGTAAGTGATCCCCAGGCAGACCGGGGAGGCCAGCGGAGGCACAAGCGAGAAGGTCAGGAGAGCAAAGATAGGCAGAGTCAGGGTGGACAGCCAGCAGCAAAGACACCTCTCAGTACAGCCTAGTCCTGATGGCAGGGACAGACAGCAGGCCTCTTACAGGGGATCCTGCTTCCCACGGGGCAGGGACACGAGGGGCTGCGCAAAGGGGGCTGCAGGAGGGGCAGTGACGTGGGATTTCCTGGCTGTTGGTAGTACAGCAGAGCAGCTGTTCCTTGTTTCTCTTGTGTACCTCTGAACTGAGCCTGAAACGTCACACTAGGTGTCCAGTACTCATGTGAAACCCTTAACAAAGGGGAAGGGAAAACACAGCATTATACCCTGACAATTATGGAAATAAGGAAAGGAAGAGTTTGACAAAACGGATTTCATGCAGATTGTCCTTCCCCATCTACTTTCAAATCTTATCTCAACCCTTTCTGTTCCAGTCTCAGACTTCCCAAAACACACAGCTAGTGTGCCGTGGGTTGCTGCTACCATAGCACAACTACAGGACAGAGGGAAAAACAGGTTAACGTTACTTCTTGTAATTTAAATCAGACTGAAGTGCATCTTGCAGGTTTGCAAGAGTATAAAGGACTGCTTGTTCAGCCCCAAAAGGTGAAATTCTGTTTGAGGGACTGTAACGGACATTTCAAAAAATTGGGAAGTTATCAGCAAGCACGTCAGGTCCTGGGTACTGACAACTGAAATGCCATCTGCTGGGGAGAGGATGAGGGGCTGTTGTGCACTGCCCCAGCAATGTCAGCCGCTGCCTGCTGACTGTAACTAGGATATTTATCCTGGATAAACTTGCTAAAAATAAAATGAAGGGGGACACCCCCCCCCCCCAATTAGTATTCTTGATCTGCTTATTTTGACAGAAAGTAAGCCTGAGCACAAACATATGTGAACAGGAAGGGTTTGGATGAGAGCACTTGTAAACAAGTCTGGGTTCTGTCTGGTAGTTTGTAATACCAAGCCTTTGGTGGTTTATTTTCTTTTTAATTGGTGCACACCACAGAGGAGCTGGTAGCTTGAACAGCCACTTTCGAGACACTGCTGCAAGTGCAGAATGAAATTGCAGATTAAAGTTTGTTCCCTTCCATCAGCACAGCTCAGGGCAGCAATGTGCCATTACCTGTCCACAATACACCAGTGGAGTTTGACATCCTCTTTTAAGAGGCTGAAAGCCTTCTCAGTACAAGGGGGAGAATGCTGAGGGGCAGGACAACTGCTTAAAAATTATCCAGCAGCAAAGATCAGCATTTAAATTGAACACCTGTATTTAAGAAGTACTAGAAACTGCCTCTTAGGAATTCCTTTAAGGAGACCTGGTTACAGCAAAAAAAACACCCATTGTCAAAGCCAGCCTTTCACCTTTGTTAGGGACATGCAGAAATTATATTAAACTTCCTCAAATTCTTTACAGAATTTACAGTCATCTGGTTGTAATAAGAGCTTACAGAGAGGTTTATTTAGAGATCTTGTAGCTCCTTAAGCCTGGTTTGGCTGCTTGCATGGCTACTTCCCCTCAGTTGTCATGCTGATGACATTTCTTCCCTCCTGATTTCACAGTGGATTCCCATAAATCACTAATGAAATACCACCAAAATAATTTTATTTTTTTACCATAGGCCTTTGCTAATATAAAAGTTCATCCTGATGATGTGACAGAAGCTGCATCAGCCACAAATGGGAACAAAGCAGCAAAATGACAAGTCTCTGGCAGAGCCCCAGGACAGAAGCAGGAGTCCCAGTCTGGTTGGGCAGGTCGCTGCTTTGTTTTAAGCACAGGAAGGTGTTAAAAAGGAAGTCTGAAGCCTTCACCAGGATACAAAGGTTTCCTCACATATAAAGGTAGGCTGAGCAAGCCCAACTGTGTTCCAGACACAGCAGCAGCTGCAGGGCAGAGCTGCCCCAGGCCCGTGGAGCTCACACCCCGCCCAGCCCAGGAGACACCCTGTTTGCTGGGCTATCACAAAGATGAAACGCCTAGGGGCTATTTTCTGAATAAAGCATTTCTTCCCCTTCTCCCAGAACCTTCCCATCCTCCTTTGGCAGTGTTCCAAGCTGTAAATATTGGATGGATCATTTCCCTCAAAGGTATTTTTGCCTTCTTTCAGAAGTATCTCTCATCTTGAAGGGAAAGAAAGGTCAAAGAATCCTCGAACTTTCAACTAGGTGTTAAAGACAGGTTTCAAGAGTGGAAGGAAACTGTATTTCCCAGTCAGCCCAAAGCTGAGGCCTGGAAGCTCTGCAGGCTCATGTCAGTCAGGGGTCACAGCCACGGGACAGTATCCAGCATCGGCCACGAAGGGGAACCCTCCATTGTGCAAGAACATGATGGTGAGGACCAGGAGCCAGTAGTGAAGGGGAAGGCTCTGGATGTCCTGAACCTGCTGCAAAGACAAGATGTGCCCTCACTCACCAGGAATTAGCTCAGCTTCACACCGGTGTTACTCCTGCAAACCACTGAAGGGCACAAGAGATTGAAGGGGTAACAGCAGGTAAAAGGGAACTACAAGACAGCTCACGCACGTCTAAGTGATGTTTGGTATGTGCTGACTCTAACACTTTCCTTCTTTAACACTATTCAGTAAAGAAAACAAAAAAGCTTTCTTCTTATTTTTATAAAGGTTCTGGCTGCAAGAGATTTTTGAGCAGGCTCTGTTAAGAGTCCACCGCAAATCCTTAAGTGAGACACAGCAGAAAGGTACAGGATAAACACGAGTCACAACACCGAGCTACAGAAACTAGTAAGAGTTCTATCATGAGAAGGAAGCCATCTAATAGATTAAAGATCCATAAAAATTGCAGACATTACAAGCCTGTAATGCTTGTTCTTAGACAGGAGAATGCAAGGAGGGAGAAGATAAGACAAGATAGTTCAGCACTGTTAGTTGTTTGCTCTCAAATGCTGTGAGCCAGAAAGCAGTTCAGAGGGAGGCTACCAGCTAATTTGTGCACCGAATCCTCCTCTGAGCCACCTCCAGTTAGGAAGTAACTGGCTCAGAAAGCTACTGCTGTCCTGAGTGCACTCTGAAAGGCTCTAGGCAGGGAATCGACTCTTGGCCGGTGGCTCACGGATTTGATCTGCTCAGCGCTGCTCTGCAGGATCGAACCGAGGGGTGGGAATGCCCTCTCTTGGCCGGGACCGCCTCCTGCTGCCGCAGCCTCCCCTGCACTCCAAAGGCAGTGCTCCTCCACCCGGGGTTGCCAGCATGGAGATGGAAAAGCACCACGTACCACTTTTTTGGATTCTTGCTGGATAACGCCATCCAAGCCCAGCTGCTTCGTGCCCACTTCATCCAGCACACCGACTGTGAGGGCTGAAACAAGCCCAGCACACAGAGCAGGCTCCTTGGAGAAACAAGAGCTGTTAGAAATTCCTCAGCATGGACAGAGCTGAATGACAAACCCCGCTGCATGTAAAATGCTGAATTCTCCATGACTCCTACTCCTGGTTTCTCTTAACACACAGAGCAAGACCCTTCCCCTCACACTACCCTGTCCCAGCCCCTGAGCTCTGCCCACTGAGCTCCCATGGCTGCAGCACTGATGATCCTGATGCTCCCGACCTGCAGGCCTGTGCAACGAATCCAAGGCTAAAGCAGGGCAGACACTGGAACACTTCCCTGGTTCCCCAGTGCAGGGGAGGCCTCCCAGGGCTGTACTGGAAGCCAGGCTGTACCTCTCCATTGGTGTGACCTGCTGCAGGTACCACAGCAGTCTGACCTGTGAGCACAGGCAGCTCCAGAGTCCAGTTATGCTGGATTTGCCACAGCAAGTTTGGCAATGGCATCTGCTGCAGACATCCTGCTCAGAAAGAGTTCTGTACCTGTTTTGCTTCCCAAAGTGCCAAGTGGGCTGCAGAACTCACTGTACTGTGCTTGCAAATGCTGCCTGAGCACTAAACTAAATGTCAGATGGGATGTGACAGCCCATGCCCACCACAGCTTTTTCTCTGAGAGCTGGAATCAGAGGAGAGCAATGGGGTTCAATTTCTGCATGAGATTTATCACACATGTGCATCCGCTTTTCCACGGATGATGGCCCATGCTGCCTTGTGGTTTGGGAAATAACACTTTCCTATTATCACTGAGTTTTTGTTCACAAAGGAGTCCCTGAAGCAGGTCTCCCTTACATCACCATCCCAGCACACCAGAGTACCCATGTGCCACTTAACACTTCTGGGGAATAAGTCATCCCTTCCACTAGAGACAGATCCCATCTCACTGCACCAAGAAGAGGACAGAAACTCAAATCTTCTGAAGATACAGCCCTAGAACAGATTCACACTAAGAAATGTGTAGTGCAGTAATATAAACATGCGGTTTCAATCAGCCATGTGCAAGCCATTTTCTGCTGGGACAGTACAGACACTGCTGCAGAACCAGCACATTCTGCTGGTCAAAGTACAGAATAACAAACACACTCGATTCCTCTTGCTTTCACTCTGAAGTTTCTATTCCATGGGAGTAAACCTACATTAAGTACTGATTACCTGTGACTGCAGATGTTTAAAATGTGTCAAGAAAACAACACTGTCAGGCTGAGACTAGAGTATTAAGAGTGGGTTCTCTGGCATCAGTACAGAAAACACCACTCATTGCACACAAAAAGCAACAGGAAAAACTGGAAAATCATGTGCCTCTTCCTGCTAACCTCACTGTCTTTTTCAGGGTCTTTTAATAACTGGACAAAACAAGCTGGCCTGGGGTGTCAAAAACAACAGGCCAAAAGCACCAAAGAAACTCACCTCCCCAGAGGTGCATTCCAAACTTTGCCTCAAACTGCTGGGTGAAGACGTTGAGGACACTCCCAAGACGGGAGAAGGACAGAGTCAGTCCAAGGGCCGGTGCTAGTTCCTTCCCCTGAACCAGAAGGCTGTGATACAGTTCTGCACAACTTGGGGAACAGAAAATTCCTCCCTTGAACAGACAGGCTTGGCCAAGAGCATGGCACAGAAGCAACAGCTCTCAAGCTGGAGAGCTCAGGCTGGGGGAGGAGACCACTACTCATCCCAGGGGGAGGTTGATTGTACCAGCCTCACAGTCCATTTTAAAATGTACTAAATCATGCTGGGACATGGGAGGTGAACTCATCCCTCACATAAGGCTGTAGGGGAGCCCAGCTGGTTCTGGGCTCTCTGTAAAATAAAACTGAGATACCGAAGATGGAACTTTTTACACCTGGCAGAGGGTTAACCACGGACAGTAGGACTGTAACACAGAGTGGGTTTCCTGTTAGGAGTGCTAACCTATTGTGTTAAGGCTGTGTGTCCAATCATGAGTTGTTATGAAGTGGTAAACCAATGCTGTGTGTACATGTGTCACCCAGAACTGTATAAAGGTAGCTGTACTGTTGCAATAAAGCTAAGCTGGTATCCTGAAACCATGTCGCCATCCCGCCTCGACCGCGACAAAGGCAAGCAAAAATAACCCAAAGACAGAGAAATCACATGTCAGTCCTCAGCCTTGAGGGAAGGACAAAGTTGTTAGAGGGGAAGACTTTTAAACGTTTTGGCCCACATTAAACCCATGCAGCAGGAGCTGTGTTCTGCCAGCAACACAGGTCCTTTGTGCAGGCCAGGTGAAGCTCACTGGTAGGACAAGGGTCTAGGAAGCAAAATAAAAATATATCATGACCCTTTGATGAGATGTAAATATGAAAATATGTAAATGTGAAATCCTTACTAGTAAGTGACCCATTCCCAGAGCCAAAGAGCAGTCTTCCTGTTAGCATCACTGGGAGGAGGTATGGTGAGCCCTTGAAGTGTGAGCCTAGAGCAAAGAGGGATGATCCCAGCACAGTAAGAAGAGAGAAAACAAAGACACCAAGTAGGGAGAAACGGAAAAAAAATTATACAAACCTCAATAGACATGCTGAGATCACAACAAAAGCATTCTGTGTCAAGAAGCAAAAGAAAAACCTCAAATCATACCGTTAAACCTGTGGGCTTCCATCAGCTTACTCTCAGTTTTCAATTTTGTAAGACTGGTCTCTTTATAAAATGACTTGGGAATCCTCAAATTATGACATTATCATGGTGGGAGGTTAGAGGGGCAGAGTAACTCAGACAGAGGACTCTGAAATATGTAGAGTCCTTGTCCCTGTCCTGGAGCTCCATTACATGTCCTAGAGGAAATGATCTCTGTGCCCCCCTCTCCTCTCTAAGATGTTTACCTCCAGGATACAGAGACAGCAGGACTGCATTTGCTGGGATTGCTGGGTCTGAGCTTATGGCACACACCAGAATAAATGACAGAGCAAGGAACAGAATTGTGCTTTATCAGTTTGTCCCATCAAAACCAGATAACACCGGTCCCTGTCATGTGTGTGTCAGAGAAAAGCATGTTTGCTGCCCTGCTGTGTCAGTTCAGGTAAGTCAGTGGTCAAAGGATGAAAATGCCTCAGTTGCTTCACGGAGCTGCTCAGCTAACCATCACACCCCCACACCCTGCCCTCCATCCCTCTGGGATGTTACTGCACTGGGACCTTTGATCATCCCTTTGCACTGAAAGGACAGCCTGAAATCCCACTTCAGAACGAATTACTGGAGCCTCGGAACTTACAGCAATTTCCCTGTGTATCAATCAGGAATCCAGCCAGAATAACCACTGCTGCATTTCTAGGAGAACACAAATTTGTTGTCTTGGTGCTTGGCAGCAACTATCAAACAACCCCACCCCCAAAAACGAGAGCAAAGTGACTCCTGTCCAGGCGTAGAGCAGGTTGTACTGAGCTGGGGTCATTCCCAAGCCTTCTACACACCCCAGCGTGCCATTATGCTCAGTGCTGCTCTGGTGGGTGCCAGTGGGGCAGGTCAAGTTCTGTACAAGTCACAGAGCCTTTGTTAGGTGCAGACACAGACAAAAACCCACATGTGCCTTTACAAATTAGATTCTTCCCATCTAGATTTCTCTTTATCCTGCTCAGCTCCCACTTCCACAAGCAGCCCTTAGGGGACTTGTGTCTTCTCCCAGAAAGCCAGCCCTTCTCAAATGGGAAATGACTGGCCATTGGCATGGCATGGCACAGCTTCTGTTTCCCTTCCTGTGGCAGTAGCAGCAGGGGCTCAGCACTTTTATACACATTTTCAACCAAAAGAAAAGCCAGGAGCCCGCTCTAAACCATCAGCTTTATCTGATCCCTCAGTTTCTTGGTTATAGTTCAGCTTCATCTGACTCCTCATTCCATATTATAAAGTCTCAAGCAGTATGTAAATATGAAACTTAGTCTGTATTAATTAACAGATCTAAAGCATTTCCTGTAGAGTAAGAAACTGGTAGTCCTGGCATGATTTAAAAACCTTGGTTTTACTACTAAAAAGGAACATCTCCTCAAGACTGTATGATCAGGAAAACGCCCCTAGGATCTTCCAGCTCCTGAAAATTCACTGCACTGGGAGATGGGCGCGGGATCAGCAGGCACAAGCTTAGCACCCTGAATAAGCACAAGAGAAGTGTGACTTTTACCACGAGATTTTTATATTCACAACCCCTCAGATGTGATGCAGCAGAAATTTCGAGGCTGCAGAGAAGCAGCTCTCTAGAACAAAGTGTTTCACTGCAAGCACTCGTCTCAGCTGCTCCAACCACCACAGGACCACTGCTGAGGCAGGGAGAGGCTAAATTCACCAGAGTAAAAAGTATGACAAGAGTGTCAACAGCTAAAAACTCTGCACAGTACTAACACAGAAAGATATGGCTTGGTTTCACTACCCCACAAAGTTATCTGGGTAACAAAACATGACATAGCCTTTCCTGTATTCCATAAATAAATAACTGACTCCTCCCTCCCAAACCTACAGAAGTTGTGGAAGACTGAGGAATAATTACTGACCTTTTTTTTTTTTTTTTTTGGAGAGGGGGATTTTCTCATATTTGCAATGACAAGCTGCACCCAATTTAGCCTGGAGTTCACTATCTGAATGTTAGGGATTGACTGCATTTAAATTAAAAAAGAAGTTACATGCAAGCTCTGGCTATTCCTGCCATGGGAGCTGAGGCAGACAGAGAACAGGACAGTGACTCTGCCCCTGCACACACTGGCCTGCCAGCAGACATCACATGAGAGGCAAATCGTCTCTCAGGAGACACTGAACCAATGCAATCATGACAGGTAAATGAGCCAGTAAGAATTTGTCAGGGGTTCAGAAATTCAGCTTTGGCACTCCAGCATCTCTAGAGAAGTCCCAGCAATCAGCTGGGACGGGAGCATAACCCTGAACAACGGAAGTTTCCAGCATTTCAGAATATGACTAGTCTTTACAAGTCAGTCCTCCTGTGACCCCCCTGCACAGTTCCTGTCCTTGGGCCCCCAAATAATGATGTGATGTCTGCAGTGTCACAAGGTTTGCACCTGGAGACCCAGAAAGACTTTCCTTCTCCCTGGCAAAAGTGAGTACTGAGAACTTGTGTATTTCTGAAAGGTTTCTAGGGGATATAGGAACATAAGTGATGCTGTTATGTCTGACTTCTTGAAAATTATGCTTAATATATTTTAATCCCATTTTTTTTAACTTTATGATATGAAGAGATTTTTTTTTTTTAAGAAAATGCTGCTTCACTGTAACTCATGAATAAAGTGGGACTTAAAAGAATGATGTGTAATATTCTGGTTATGCAGCACAAAAGCAAAGCACAGGACACAGCTCAGCCTGGAGCAGCCCAACCCTCTGGTTTCTTTCAGTAAGTTTTAGTTTCCTTTTGAATTGAAACAAATTTTTATATATTTTTCCTCTAATTTTTGTACAGGCTATGAATGAAATGAACGGGAAAGAAATAGAAGGGAAGAAATTGAAACAGTGTTAGCAAAGCCAGCGGATAAGAAAAGGAAAGCATGTCAGGCTGCCAGACAGGCCTCCTGGAGCACTGCGTGAGTGTCACTGTGGCCACACCGCACAGTAAAGTTCTGCTGAAAGCGAATCATCTCTGATGCCTCAGAGCTTTTTTTTGATTTTTAGCTTTTATAGATTTTAGAAGTAGTTGTGTAATAAATTTAGATTTTATTGTAGCCATATTATATCCCTTACCCTTTAGGATAATGTTTACACATACCCAACCCTACTACCCCATTTCATATCAATCCCTCTAAATTCCATTAGCGTGTTTAATCTTCTTTTCAAGGTAGAATTGTAAAAGAACACCTGAAGGCCTGGACCAGAAGATATCACACTGACAGACCTTCAAGCCCAGAACTTTGGAGGAACTGTATGTGCTGTGAAGAAGATGAAGATGAGGAAGAAGGGGTCCCAAACGCCCCCAGACCCAATTCCCGAAGGGGTGTGTTGGGGGGCAGAGTGGGGCAGAAGCGGGGGGTGGACAAATTGGGATTGGATGGACCTTATTATAAAATCATAGAACCCCTGTCTGAGGGGGTGTGTGCTATGTATTCCTGTAGGCCTGTGGACTCATTAAAGGACCTGCTCTCTTTATCTTATCCTATACATTAAATTGGCCTGGAGTCTTTCTCCGCCGTCGTTTAAGCAACATCTCCAGCAGTGCAGGTACTGGGGTCAGTGCTGTGGATCTCCCGGGTGAGGGTGCTGTGAAGTCCCGGCTGGCCTCGGTCAGTGCGGTCAGAGCCGGCAGCGCGGACACTCCCCATTCCCTCGGCAGCACAGGGAGCTCGAAGCCCTCACCCGCAGCGCCTGGGGGCGAGACCGCGGGGCAAGGGCTGCTGTACCCGCAGGAAGAGGTCTGGGAACTGCCGCGGCCCCCCGGCCGAGGCCCGTGCGCTGCCGCCGTGCCCGGACGGAGCTCACCCCGGCACTGCCCCCGGAGCCGCCGCCGCAGCACAGCCCGCCGGGGGTGCCGGAGCAGGAGGAGGAGCCAGAGGGGAGCAGGCGGCTGAACAGCAGCACGGCCAACCTGCGGCAGCCTGCGGCACAGCGAGCCCTCCCCAGCCGCCCCTCTCGGCCCTCCCACCCAGCCCAGGCCGGCCTTGCCCGCGGCCTGCCCGGCCCGCCCGCAGCGCCCGCAGCGCCCGCAGCGCCATCGCTCCGGGGCCGGAACGGGCGGGAGAGCGAGCGAGGGGGAATGGGAATAGGGAATGGGGAATGGGAATAGGGAATGGGAATAGGGAGTAGGGAATGGGAATAGGGAATGGGGAATGGGAATAGGGAATGGGAATAGGGAGTAGGGAATGGGAATAGGGAATGGGGAATGGGAATAGGGAATGGGAATAGGGAGTAGGGAATGGGAATAGGGAATAGGGAATGGGAATAGGGAATAGGGAATGGGAATAGGGAATAGGGAATAGGGAATGGGGAATAGGGAATAGGAATAGGGAATGGGGAATGGGAATAGGGAATAGGAATAGGGAATGGGGAATGGGAATAGGGAATGGGGAATGGGGAATGGGGAATGGGGAATGGGATTGGCATTGGAAATGGCAC